AATGTTTTTCATCTGTGCTGAGCACAGGAAATTGATGGTCGGGCGTTTCGTTTTGCATAATATGCAAAAGTGACATGAAATACTTCCAAATAATTAGGAGAACGAGGTGAGCTGTGTGATGTTATAGCTTCCTGTGATTTAGTACCTCGTAGGTTCCTTTACTTCTGTTTTTTTACAGAGCACACAATGATTTATCGGCCTTGAAAAGTGTCCAGGCCACTCTATAAAAAGTTAGTGTGGAGAAGGCATAGAAGGATGAGAGCCACAGATACAGTCTAAGGCCAAAATGTCCTTGGACACATACCAACAGCTGAGACGTTATGAACTCAACTCATACATTTTAACCACTTTAGCTGACCTGCTACCATATATCTGAAATCTATGCAGCCCTGTAATAATTCACGCATCAGCTCACGCGAACCCACCCTTACAAAGAGCCTGCCGCTATTTCACAAGTCTTACACACCAAGCCTAAAAGCATTGCATCATATCTTTGTTAAGCTCCATGGGTCTTTAATTCAAATCTCTCCAGAAATGAAGACGCCCATATAATAGCAACACAGACATCCCAAGGAGCTAAAGACATGAATATAACCCAAGGCAAAAACATACAGTGAACAAACAAGACAAACCGAATAGCCTTCATCCAAATATGCCTCTTCAGATGGAGTGTCCGTGAATGCGAATGAAATTAAACTTGATTTGTAAACCTTCCAAGTCACTGAGGATTAGCTAACACATTTGCATGGCTAACCAGCAAAGCTGTTTGCCAGGAAATGTCAGCAGAAATTTCCCAGGAGAGGATATGCATCCTATATCTATATCCCATGGACTGTTACCTGTTCGAGCTCCATTTAAGTGCTGGTATAAATAAATTGCTGGTATATGAAGTGTGCATGTCACTTGTGTTGTATGTGTGTGCCGAAGGAAAAAGCTTGTGTACTCATGTGAGGTGGGTGGTTGGGTGGGCGTGTGTCAGAGCACTGACTCAGAGCACTGCTGTCAGTCATGAATGATGCTAACCGGTTGTGACGATACGCACGTTTTCAAAATGCAGTGACTGGACTCCACCAATGTCATCACTGTTGATGGAATATAAAGACCACCTACGCTCAAAAAAGTGTTTTATGAATAGTTGGATGGCTTATTATGACGTTATAGTCTGGTATTTATGTTACATTTGTTATTACAGCAAGCACTAATTTTACTTTTTTTCATTAAAACATTGACTCTCTTTGTACTTCCATATGAAAATCAGTGAAAAGATGCCAAGTATTTTTTTCCTTTTTTGACATCAGAAAAGAAGATTGATCCTGTCATGCTAAATATGCTTATTAAAGAACAAAGATGTAGTAACCAGAAACTTTAAGCTACAGAACATGTGTGTGCTAACCAGAGATGTTAACAGGGTTTCATTCATTCATTTAGTCCTAATCCAAGCTTAATTAGTGTTTTTTTCTCCAGCTGAAATTTTACAAGCCGTATGCTTTGAGTTCAAGTCAAGTCCTGAGTCATTTCAGGATGAATTTGACTCGAGTCGTCAGTATGTAAACATACATTTGAGTCCCCATCTTTGGAGCTAACATAGGTAAAGTTTTGACATTTGGACAGTGCAGTTGGCACTCTATCAATGAGGTGAACATGGCGTATTGTGCAATGTTAAAACAATGCAAATCAAGACTCAAACACTGAAATCCTAGTGTCTACCTCTAGGATTTCAGTCTAGGATTTAGCGCCTACCTGACAAATGTTAACTAGCTAGCTAGCCATTTGCTGATGCAAAAGAGCAGCTGTATACTACTGACCAGCAGTAAACAGACACATGATAGCTGAACTTACTACTGTGATATATCAATAATTTGCTTCAGTCTAAGGTTAAACATGCTTGTATCTCCTCAATATTTGCCATTGGCACTTTGCAATATCATAGTATACCAAGGGTTGTAGCTTGAAGCATTCCCACAGATTTATGACAGCTCAAAAGAAATGTTAGAAAATGTAATCCTGGAACCCCAAGACACTGAGTTCTTCTGAGAAATAAAAGTCACAAAAGTCACCACCAAAGCTCTATTTTTAATCATAGGCAGGTTTTGGCCACTGCTGTCATTATGGCAACACCTACACGGCTGCATGCTGCCATCTGTTATTTTGCATCCAGTTCAATTTTCATTTATTTGTATGGATGTTGAAAGACTTTTAACCAATTCTGCACTAAGGCATGGAACAAGACTTTTTTTCAACACCAACATGTAAACATAGCATTCCCTGCTTGACTGTTTCTGCAGATTCAGTTCAGTGCTGGGAAAGAATAACAAGAAAATCACAGTGTTCAACCACTCGTGCCAGACATCTATTCTAGTCCTGTAAAACGTAGGCTTCTGGTTAATTAGTTGTTGGAGTATTTAGGCAGTGACATGCAAAGTCAGCAATCAAGTGCTATGTTTTCTCTCTGGTTATGGTAGCTACAATGAAGTGATAAGCCAAACTGGTGGTTGTCAACCTCACTATAGTGACATTTTGCCAGCCCCCTGAACCTGTAAACAGACCCACCAAATATTTAATTCTACACCACTAGCCAAAGGTAACTGCATAGTACAAGTTGGGAAAGGGGTGCTGTTAGGAAGGCTAGAGGATATAAGAGCTTTTCTAATTTACACATTCATGCATATTCATAACTTTTTGGAGTCTTTCAGAGAGTAAAGATGTAGTACTGCACCTAGGCCATGTAGTAGTTTTGTGAGCGTTAAATAAAATGTACAAATATTTAACAGTTTTTCATTCAATATCAATTGTTTTTAATGTTTTAAATGTTATGAATTATACCTTTATCAATACTTTAAAGTTTCTCATAGTTTCTCATAATGGCCATCAAGAAGGCTTTAGTTCACTTTAATTTTAACACTTGGCTAAGATTTCTGCCCACACCAAGTCTTGCCACCACAATAGTCAATTGTCTCTTAATGAAAGATATAACCTTCTTTTTGTTAACTGAACAAGTGTATGTGTATTGTCCCACTCAATTGTCAGAACCTTGCAAATAAACATGTATTTCATAAATGTATATTTACAACCAACCAATTGCTTTCTAGGGCAGATTTGCTGAAGTGGAAGTCATTTCTGCAGTGAATCTACTTTGGGAAATAAATTGCTTCTGGCATGTCAAAGTGACTGTGGGTGCCCTTTTGTCATAAAAAAGCATGAGAGAGAGACAGGGAGAGACTTGTCCTTTACCTCTGTGGATCTTTGGACTTTTGGGTTGTACAGTAGCAGAGCCACCTGTGCCCTACTGTGTGTGTCAGCTTAACAGAGAAGCTGTCACAAAGCTGGTGACCTGAGGTACCTGGTGCCAGGCCAAGCAGCAAGAGACCAATAGCCTCTCACTCTAGCACTGGCATCCACAGTAAAGACATTATTTACACACATAGGCCTTAAGAGAGACACTTCATTTTAAAGGGCTATATCATATACTTGTATTTTATTATTGAATAAAGTGCACTTATTTAGTTTGTGTTGTGTTTATGCACCATAAACATTCATTAATTAATTTTTATACAACCACTTCCCAACCTCTCTTTATCCTGCAGAATTAAACAGGCTGCTGTTACTATGCCTTTAAGACTGATATATGTAAATGACCTCTGTTCTGATTGGCTGCCATGTATCGTGCCTCATTCAAGAAGTAGTCCAGGCTAAAATGCATCCTCATAATATCAACTTGAACGGGTGGAGCTACTGTGCTGAAGGCTAAGAAGGTGGATGTGTGTAATGACATCACAAAAACAATGAATTCAAAACAGGCTGTTCTTGCAGATTAGTTTCCTTATATTCCACATGGGAAAGAAATACACGTGCATGTGTTTCTCTAATGTGGAATACATTTCATTACATTTTATACGTTTCATTGCAAGATATTCCAAACACTAAAGTATATTTAAAAAAAAAACAAAAATCTTTTCATACATTTTCAACTGTGTTTGATAAATGCATTACATATATTTTCTATACAGGACGGACCATACAAATAAACATACCTTATCAAAAAACTTTCTGTCCATGACATAGGCCCTTTAATGTTTTTCACATGGGCCCTTTAATGTTCACACATTTCGAAGCCCAACAGCTGCAATATTAACACAAAAATATTACCACAGTTCTAATTTTGTTTATCTGAATTAATGAGTTCAATTTCAAAATGCGAGAACAAACTATGCATATGAAGACAGACTAACCACTTTTGCGGACTCTTACAATGAGGTATAATGAATCTGTGGTACTTTTAGAGAACAATAAAATGTTTATTAGCCTGTTACAAAATAGTTCAATAATTATTTTATTGGCTCGATTTCTGTGAGCGTCACGGTGTGAGTGAGGTCTTGGACTCTGCTGTCGATTCATTTGACGTTCAGAAGTGGTACCCCCCCCCCAATTAGTGCGTTTAAATAGTGACCTCATTCGAGTGTACATCTGGTAGAAAGTGAAGGGACTGTAGCGTGTCCAGCCCGGGGCCAAAACCAAACATCTTGCTTTATGACTCGCTCCAACTGGGAGTAAATGACGTAGCCAAACCTGAGTCAATCCGCGCGCAGCCTCCATTAATCCGCTCAAACGGCGCGAGCTGCTGCTTCACCTCCACTGAGCGGGAAAAAGCTCTGAGAGGAACTACAACATAGCGAGCTGAGGGACTTTACTTCACTCCCAGTTGTTTAATTACCTCAGAAGTTGGGATTGTCCAGCTAAGGGTGATGAATCTGTGTCTGGATGGTCAGTTTTAGTTTTGAAGAACGACGTTTAAAAGCGACGGTTAAGTCGGCTGTGAACACTTAGCACTTGCTGCGCGCTGTGCTGAAAGAAGCTTCTCCAACCGACGCTGGGTTTTTTCCTCTCTACACAACTTCCTCGCGCGGTTTTGTTCAGGAAAATGAAGCGGCTTTATACTTTGTGTGAACAAGCTGGAGCGGGAAACTGACACGGTTTTCTTTTTTCACTTTTTAAAGGGCTTTTTACGAGCAGCACTGAAAGACGAGTGATAAATACGGCGGGTTTGAGCTGAAGCGCTTCTGAGTGTCGCTATGATCACTTTGGCTGTTGGACTCCTCTACGTTTACGCGCTGGGCAGCGGCAGGGTGGCGCGCGCCAGCGCTCAGGCGAAGGGCAGCCGCTTCGTGTGCACGGCGGTGCCCCCTGGCGCGGACCTCAGCTGCCCGGTGGAGACCACGAACCGCGTGCAGAGCGCGAGCCCGCAGGAGGACGAGTTCAGGAGCACGATCATCCAGCTGCGCGAGACCGTCCTGCAGCAGAAAGAGACCATCGTGAGCCAGCAGGGCACCATCAAGGAGCTCAACGCCAAACTCTCCCGCTGCGAGGCCGCCGCTCAGGATGCGCGCGACAGCAAGGCGCGAGGAGGCGCGCGCAGGAAGGACTACGGGAAAAACACGATGGGGGACCTCCCGCGCGACCCCACTGAGACCATCGAGCAGCTGGGGAAGACCATGCAGAGTCTGAAGGACCGGCTGGAGAACTTGGAGGTGAGGATGTTTGCACTTAAATGTACTTGCTTGTTACGTTTTGATGAATTTATGTTGCACATGTTCAGTCCATATAAAGAAAGACTGATGAATACTCCTCTGAATGAATAATCTTTTCTCTTGGTTTACATCAACATGTAAATGACTAAATATGCTCATTCTATGTACCTCCACTTTACAGGCACACACTTACATTACTATCTTTATGGCTATCTTTATGGGGGTTTCCCATTGCCCTATTTATTTTCTGACTGGCATTGGTTTGCCTGCACTGAAACCAAGACATACCAAAAATCTCAATAACTGTATAGCTTTAGCTCTTTTACTTTTAAAGGGCTGAATTTGTCCTGATGAAGACTAGCAAAATGAAACCCCACAGTGTAGCTTTGTGCTAAGAGAACCCCTGGTCCCCAGAAAGACAACAAAACAAACCACACATTCACACATACACAAGCTTAACCCTTCATACACACACACTAAAAATTTATAGTATGTGACTCATCACTTCTGCATCTGGCAAACGGGGAGAAAAGAGCATTGTGACACATTTTGATGCAGTGACTCAATAAATATTTATGTATACATGTATGTGCTACAGTCAGCAGAGCTGTAAAAGCTGATTCAAGTTTTTCCTCCTGCAGCAGCAGCAGCTGCGTGCCAACATGTCAGGTGCGGCTTTCCCCAATGAGTTGCGCGACCTGCTGAAGCGGCGGCTTGGTGACCTAGAGAGCCAGCTCCTGAGGAGAGTGGCTGAGCTGGAGGAGGAGAAGAGCCAGCTTTACAATGAGACGGCGGCCCACCGCCAGCGTACAGAGAACACCCTCAACTCGCTGCTGGAGAGGATCACCGAGCTGGAACGAAGTATGCCACGCTGGGCTGTTAGCTCACATTCAGATCAGGGTTTTATTACTATTACTTACTAACTGAAGTGCAGTTGGAATGGAGTTTCTCTCTGACTGTTGCATTCTTGAATTACATAGTGGGGTTATGGCCAGACCACACCAACCTAATAAACAGCAACGCTGGTGTGCCATGCCTGTGTGTGATTGTTGGAAAATCTAGAAGGTTCTCTTTTATTCACAGTGGTTCATTTGGTGTGTTAGTCCCTTTTCTTAACATTCTTAAACAATTGGCAATATTAATACATTGTTTAATGGGCTTGTGTGCTCAAGCCTTTAGAAATTGGCTTTTTAAAGATTGATATTGATACAAAGACTTGTATTAATGAATACTATCCTCGTTTTCTTTCTGTGTTATCTCTGAAAGCTAATTTAAAGTGATTTTTAAGGCAGGCACAAATCAAAGCTAGGGTTATAGTGGATGTAAGCGTTTTTGTTTTGTTTTAAGAGGTACTAGATGCATATAAAATAACTTATTTGCAGGCAGCTGTTTACCTTTCCCCACTGCTTCAGCTGGGGAACACGTAGCCTCTGGCCTTGTTGAATGAAGACATTATCCGTGACCCATCTGGCATCACAAACCAGTCTCATTTCCATTTTCAGCATTGAGGACAGGGTCAATGGCACAAACAGGACCAATTTACTAATGACAAGTGATCAGATTTGACCCAGTAACATCTGCATTGCAGTTTACTGACAAGCCAGTACTATTGTTTCATCTAGATATTAGCGCAGGTCTGTTTGCTCTCTGAAACTAAGTTGTTATGAGCCGTTATTGAATTTGTTCCACATCTTTCTCTTTTGTTCTCACAGGTAACAGTGCGTTTAAATCCCCAGAGGACTTCAAGATATCTCTGCCTCTACGCACAAATTACCTATACGGCCGCATCAAGAAGAGTCTACCAGAGATGTACGCCTTTACCGTGTGCATGTGGCTCAAGTCTAGCGCTAGTCCTGGCATTGGAACTCCATTCTCCTATGGTGTCCCTGGACAGGCCAATGAGATTGTACTGATAGAATGGGGAAATAACCCCATCGAGCTACTTGTCAATGACAAGGTGAGTCATTAATTAAATCTTGTATACAGAGTTATTTCACTTGTTGGTTTTGCCCTGTTGTGATGTCCCTGTGGAGAAACAGAAGATGTGAGGATGATGAACATGGGAGTGTGAGTATGATTGACATTGTATTGCAATTAGCTCAACCTGATGGGTTGCAACCCCAAGTTACTGCAGGTATTGCTGTTCTTGTAGAGCTGTAACTAACAATTACTTCTACAGCTGGTTGTCTCCCACTTATTTTCTTTTATTAGTCGACTAATGATTATGTTTCTGTTTCAGTGAAAAATGCAAAACTCCATAATTCTGAAAGCATACTAAAACACATATAGTATCAGTCTGTGCACTTTTATCTTCCCTGAGGAAGATACGACTGGACCTCATTGGTCTGGAGCTTTACCATTTCATTATTGAACTGCTACTTCAGTATGACATTAATTTTACTACACTGTACGTAACATCACTGGAGGGTTCTTCTCTTCCACAAGACGTTCTGCTTTCCAACATGTTGCTTAATGTTACCTTTACTGTGCTGACATTAGCCACTTAGGCTAGGCAGTTAAAACACTTACTCACAGCCAGCAGAAGCAGAAAACATCCTGAAACTCAAGTGCTTTAGTTTTATTTTGTTGCTGTGAAATGCCATCTCTGCTTTTACATGTTGTGCATTGTAATGAGCTGTGACTTTCGTAAGTCTTGCTTTCTTGAGTTTATCTCTGTTTGCACTGCCATCCATTCTTACAATGCAATGAAATAACAGAAACCACAATTAGGCGTGTCAGAGTTAACAAGCATGTTAACATTATATGAGGTCTTTTTAAAGTAGATGACGAGTCAATAATTAAAATTCAACTAATCTTAGGAGCCTTAAATGTACGTTTCTTTGGGCGAAATTGTGATCTAAATGTCAAGATGTGGTTGTTCCAGATGTTAATTAGGTCTCCTGCCTTGTATTTCCATTGGGGTCTTCCACTGGTGCTTTGAGGCATCGTATCTGCTAAGCTGGCTTGTCTGTTTTTGTATTTTTGTGCAGTGCACCACAACCTTGAACTTCTACGCGTCATAACCTCCGTCAGTTGCACTCAGCAATGACGTCAGCCTCATTAATTAGGAATTAAAGAGAAATCTGTTGATGTGGTTTCAGTTTTAAATAGGTTTATAAGCAAAAGAATTGGCTGTTTGCTATGGATGAGGCCTTTCATCTACAAATGTGTTTTGTCTTTAAATAGAACCCACATTTGTAGCATTTAAAAAATTTGACAAAAGCAGAACCAAGGGCAGGAATTATGAGAACCTGTTTTAGAAGCAAGAAGAGATTAAATGACTGAACATCAGTAAATAACTTTCATTTTTTGTGAGAAACATAACTGTACAGTTGGATTTCTAAAGCTGTTTTGCCACAGAGTGAAAATCATTAGATATCTGCATCTATGGCTCCTGTTGAACATAACCTAAGGGTGTAGTGAGAGTCAGAGTGAGAGCTAAGAAAGTGAGTTTGGCTGCCTGACTAATTCCCATGATACCTCTCCTGAGCTGTGTCACTTTGGCATCTGGCTTATTGGGAGAGGCAGCTTGCCCTACAGCTCCCTGCTACAGCATGCATTAAACATGTGTGTGAGTGTGTGTGTGTGTGTGTGTGGTTGTATGTGTCTCTATATGTGTGTGGGTGTGTGAGTGTGTATTTTGGGGGGGTTAAATGAGAGGGTATAGGAGAGAGATGCTGCCATGCTGAATCTGATTACCTGTCAAGTGCATCTTTAGTGCTTTCCTTCCTCCATTGCATGCTGCAATACCTCTGAACACACCATTCTGCCTCACCTTACTATTTTTACATCAGTGCATTGACTACATTGAGATGAGGTTTAATCGCTTTTCTGTTTGTGTCCTTGTGGGGATTCAGAGTACAGAACAGCTCCCATATCGAAATATAGTAGAATGGAAAGAATCAACAGAATGATGACAGTCATTGAAGTATGACCTCAATCATTCCTGCATATGAGTTTACCTTATAGTCAGCATCACTACAATTGATATGCTGGTTGTAGATTATGGATTGAGATTCATATTGATGTCCTTGGGTGCTTCGATCTTGCTGTGATCCATCTCTGGGCATTTCTTTAAAACTGATCTGAAAGCATATCAGGCACGAAATGGGTGTAGGGGGACAGTATAAAGATGTGGATTTCATACACTGCCTTTTTATATGACTACTATTGTTTTTTGTACAACGGAAGGATAAAAAATTGCTTTTTAGGGATGCACCCATATGGGAATTGTGGTCCATTGTTGATATCTGATATTTCTCATGTACATAACTGCTGATGCCAACACCATAAACATAAACAGTTATAAAATGTAGAATTGGCAGTAGTTCCACCTGGATTAGCATCACTGAGAAATACAGTGTTTATTTCTTTAGGATTACAAATGCAGTAAAATGAATAAAATGCAGGCATTTTAGTACAGTTGCCCAGTATTGCCTAAATATTCTGGTCTTCCAGGAAACAATAAATACATCATCCCTATCATCATGCATCACGCTGCTTTTACTTTGCACAATATAGTTGCAGATGCAGCAGTGGCTGCTGTGTTTGATATGTGTAACATATGCATATCAAATTAACTCATCTGGTAAATGTGAAGTAACATCTTGCAACATGTGGGTTGATTTCTTATAGCATTTTAAGTTTTGTGGATCATGTTTTTGGATCACAGTGTCAGAGCATTTCTCGAAGTTACACTGTATATTATAGACATAATGTAAGAAGCAACAATAAAGCATTGTTCTACGAAGTCATTCAACGAATCACATACGTGAGACGGTAGGGCTTTGTTTAGTTGTCACCTAGATACAAACATTTCCTAGTATAAACCAAGGTCAGCAAGTAAACAGTCTTTTTCAAGTGATTTTATGTTTTTCTCCAGATACTCTCTACAGCACTGCACAGTTATTCTTTACATGTACATTGACCCTCAGCTCTTTATGGTGTTCTGTGGCATATGTTCATGATGCTAATTGCTACAGTATTTCGTCATTTTCGTCATTATTCACTGCTTTTACAGTTTTATACTACTCCTGCAACATTATAATGTAAATTACATTGTATACATATATTAATTCTCTATAGTACAACGCTGTGTACAGTGTGTACTCAAAATGTAATCTCTACAGGTAGCTCAGCTGCCTCTGTCTGTGAGCGATGGCCGATGGCATCACATCTGCATCACCTGGACAACCAGAGATGGCTTCTGGGAGGCCTATCAGGATGGAGAGAGGCTAGGCACTGGGGAGAACCTGGCCCCATGGCACCCAATTAAACCTGGAGGAGTGATCATTCTAGGTCAAGAACAGGTAAGAGTGAAAGGGAGACATAATACCTCCCTTAAGGGATTGACGGATAGAAAATAGAGCAAGTCTTCACACGCGATGAATAGAAGACGTCATCTTTATTTACAAAGCTGCCGCTCTGTCTTTGTCCTGTTACATCACTTGGAGTGAGCAGGGAGTGATCTGCTACTCCTGAGGGATGTTAAATGTAGACAGCCAAAGATCATTGAACTTTGAATCGATATCCAAGTGCTTTTTGGATTGTACTGCAGACATAAATTTGATGCAGGGTTGGCATTTGAAAATTAATATATAGTATGTATAATAAAGATGCTAGACACCTTTTTTGTTAGTATTTTTCTTTCTCTTCTTGCATAGTCATAATACAGACAGACAACATTAACATGAACTTGGTAACATTTTATTCAGCCCATGGGAGTGCTACAGTAGTATTGCAAATTGGGATTTATTTGGTAGAATGGTGCATAGGGGAGCATTGTCTCTTATTGTCTCCCAAATATTTGGACTCCAGTTGTAGTTCAGTGTTAAAGAGTTCATATGAAAATCAGAAGGATCCTTATTTGCAAAAATGAGGCATAGTTTATAATACATTGCATGGACCCCGTGGATTACAGCTTGTGGTTATATTATGTTGTATATCTAACAATGATAACATGCATTTGTGGAGTTAATAGCCAGACTCCAGCCTTAAATCTGAGTACTTTCAGTGGCTGCAGATGCTCAGTGTTAATTATATGTTTGGTGACCTATTTTCCTTGTTTCCTTCTTATCAGGACATTGTTGGAGGGAGGTTTGATGCAACGCAAGCTTTTGTTGGAGAACTGAGCCACTTCAACATGTGGGATCGAGTTTTGCGACCGATAGACATCTCAGGCATGGCCAACTGCTCGGCCTACATGCCTGGCAACGTCGTGCCCTGGATAGATGGCAACGTAGAGGTGTTCGGAGGAGCCACAAAAGCAGCCCTGGAGATTTGTGAGGACCGTCTCTTTGACTCGTAAGATCAAGTTTGCTCGTTTGGATCCATTATTATTTTTCTGAGGTAAAACACCTCGTCATGCTGCTTCTGGACTGTCATGGAGGGACACGGTAATGTGATGAAACAGTATTCACTGTGCTTACAAGCATTCTCTCTGGCTGATTTCTGCTTCTTTCTGCTGTTTTTTGTTAAGGTTTTAATGTCAGCAAGGTCAATGATTGAAGTAATCGTGATATGTGATGTTTAAAAAAAAACTCAGCTTGCACATTCAAGGTTAAGAATACTTGAATACTCTAGCTTATCCAAGCTTCGGTCTCTTGTTGATGTTAGGTATGCTTTTGTGTTGCACATGTCCTTCAGAATCCTGGGTTCATTCTAAAAACTTTAAGAACAGCGTGGACTGGATTGTGAAGTCCAAACTGCATGAAGGTTACATTTAATTTAGTTTTGAGTCCAATATACTCATTAAAAGAAACATTTTAAACACATTCATTAAACTGACTGAACCTAAAATAGGGCTTGAGCACAAAGACTGGGCTGTCTATAACATGTGAATGAACAGGTCTATTCAAGCAGCTCTCTGCTCACTCAAAGGTGACTATGTGTGTGTGTGTGTGTGTGTGTGTGTGTGTGTGTGCGCGCTTGCGTGTGGACGTTCAGGAGATTAGTAGAGGAGAACGTTCACATTCTTGCAAATCTACTCTAATGCTGCTCCCCTTGAGCAGCTGCCATCTCTAGCAGATTTGCCGCACGGCCTGGTGAGGTTAAAGGCAAAACAGCAAAGCTGCCAAGGACTGGCCTACAATTCACATTGGCCCACGTCAGCGGGAAGCAGCTGGGAGGAGGGAAGCCTTGAAGAGATCCAGCTCGTTTGGCTTAATAGACCATTGAAAGAATGTTTAATCCTCATTTGTCTTGTAAAGTACTAGCTTTATGAATTACGGAAGTAGACAGGCACTGCTGAATTTTTGATACACTTTTGTAAATGCGTTTTGTCAAGGGCAGGGAGATGACCCTGACTTTAATTAGATTAACTGTGTGTAGGATCATGAAGGATTGTACATTTACAATACTTGTTTAATGATGCATGTACATAACCAGAGTTTCTATTTCAGAACCTGTTGAGACCCTAGCACAAAGCACTCAAAAATAATCAAAACAAATAAGCTTCTTTAATAAGGATGTGAAAGACATATTGATGGGTACTGATGACGGCGCTGACGCTGCGCTCGTTCTCTTCACGTTTGACGACAGCAAGGTTGAATGCATTATCCTCCTGCAATCTGAGAGAGGAACTTGTGTTATTTTTGTACAGAACCCATTAGTGCTTGATCATTTTAGATTATTTATGGAACGTGTACAGTGATGTTTGAGTAAAGCCATGCAGTAGCTGCATTATGTGAGATTTTATGTATACCAAGCTTTCAGTGCTGTTTTGTACGTTTTCATGCCCAAATACACCACTATGCCTGTCGGTCTCATTGTGTCTGAGTTAAATATGTAGGGTCAAGTACGGTTTTGTTAGGCATTTCTAGACTCTAGAGTGGAAAATGTAAGATTGCAGTCTCACAGGTTTTCTGTAGAGCGCACTATTCTTAAACACACAGTACCCACTAATTAGGCAGTAAGTTGTTTCCCTTGTTGCCACTTACTGGTATGTGTCCTTTAAGAATGAAATCATACCGTGATGAAGTTTACTTCTGTGCTTTAACCTTTAGAAGTCAAGTTGCTACTATTACATGTTAAAACATAATCATGTAAATACATATTTCACTGCATGGTATGTTACCTAATGGGTTACATTTACATTCAGTGTACATTCTCTTTTGACAGGTTTGAGTCAAATTCTAGTCATAATACATTGTCATCAAGTCAATACAGCATACAACAATAGTTTTCACAATAACTGTAGCTTTCCCCTGAGTGTTACTTGCAAAGTAATGAATCAAGCTGCAACTATCTGCTATGTTTCCACCTTAGCACATGGAAAAACAGAAAATGAATACGTTAAATAACGTGCAGGATAATATTTGACCTGCAGCCCATTTGGTCAGATTGTGAAGAAGAGTAGGGCAGCAGGCCTACATCAAATTTTGAACCTGCCTAGCTTCTTGGCAGCTGTGATGGCGGAACAAGTAAACAAACTGGAATACAATTTAGCAAACAAGATGGTCTATGAAATGCCTTACAGACTGTTTGTAATAAAGGTATATTTAGATTAATCTGGCAAATATTGTAAACCTGATCTGAACCTGATATTGCTGATACAGGCCACTACTGTTTGGCAAAAAGAATTGCCAATATTTAAGCACATTTCACGCAATGTTTAGGGCTTCATTGTTTTACTTTTTGTTTATTTTGCAGAGCTTTTGTAAAAAAAACACTTAAGTTTGTGTTTTATCATTAATAATATCACGGCTGTGGAGATCTACAATTCTCACTGCCTGCGACCAAATCACAGCCATGATGTCATGTGTTCTATTACTTAAATGTCTCCTCTTCTAGGTATGAATACAAATGTGGTATCGATTGAACACTTCACACTTCCTGCATGTTTCCTCAAGCTACAAAGGAGAAATAATTTATATTGAATTAAACCATGCTTTAGTTTTTGTCAGCTTTAACTGCAACTTCTGAGGGTTATGAGTGAGAGTGTATTGAGATGAAGCAGCGGCCCTGGTATGACTGGTATTTCTGATTGCTGAATGTGCATTCATGTTCATTTAACTGTGAATTCAAATTATCTACTGTCACTATCTGTGTACCTACGGGGAAAACAATCTCTATTGTAATTGCTGTGTGTATTTTTATCTGTTCTGACAAAATAGCAGCTAGTTTGAATTTTTGCTCAAAAAACTGAATGGCCTTTTCTGAGCACCAACTGTGCTTTCTTGGTTTGTTGAAGACTCCATCTTTAAATACAACCAATTAATCTACTGAGGGTAGAGTGCAACATGGATAGAGTGAGGAAAATGGATGAAATGAAAATGCTGTCGATTTGGAATCGTTCTCTCTTTCCTCGTATGGATCACCATGTATAGTTCAATGTGGAGGTGTGGTTGAATATCTTTTTGCACCCAATAAATGATTCTGAAAAGAGTGAAAACATACTGCAGCGTTTTATCTGAGTTAATGTGTGAAAGTCTTTATGTTGAACATATGGCTGTCCTCTCTTACAGCATTCAGAGGAATCAACAGTAACGTGGTCCGCTTCCTGTCGGACACTCATATATAAAGAGGATATTTGATCACTTGTCAAGACTGCAGATGTTATTAGACTGTTTTTGGTCTCCCTATGATGTCCAATAGATCGCTGCTCAGATTGCATAAGAGAGGATTGCAGGGTTTTTTTCCAAGAAAACTTTTTTTGGGTTGTTTTTTATTCGTGCATTTTACTGCAAAACAAATCGCTTTTTGTTGATTGCACTATAGGAGCCTTGTCTGGACATAAATAGCAGTTTTTCCTCATCTCCTCTGTTGTGGATTAAAATGTTACCAACAGTGCAAAATCCTCTGTCTGGCAGGGCTCCATGTGGAAATGAAAAAAAAATCTGTGGATTATGAGCAGTTTAGTGCTTTTAAGTATGTGGTTTGTACTTTTCCGAAGCTTTCTCTTGTAATTTTCACCGTCATGCTCATCTCTATCATGGATTCCTAGCTTGCTTTCCCCTCCTGTGTCACGTTAATTGCTTTGTCACCTGAGCCCCGCTCATGTCAATTAGCAGACCACAATAAAAAATGCTTTGACAAGCAATTATTCTGGATGTAGCAGAGACCCGGTGGGGTACAGACGGCCTAAATGAGAAATGATTTTTCCTGCAGGGGGGTGAAACTCTCTAAAACTCTCAGATATGCTCCTTAACTACACTGAAATATCCAACAGTCACCAATTTGACTAAAGCTACACTCTCAAAAATAGAAGTGTCAGAAAGCGTTCTTTGGAGCGATGCTGCAGAAGAACCACTTTTGCTCCTTTAATGGCCCACATCCTACATTTTCCCCCAAAATCCACTTAGAAGTAGTGTGATTTTATGTAAAAAACACACATTGGTAGTTAATTTTTACACCATTTTCTTCAAGATTGATATATGAAAATGGGGCTGAGGCACTTCTAATAACTTCAGCATGAATGCTAAACTAAAAGCTAAACTGCTGTAGGCTGAATAGGCGGAAATATGTAAAAAAAAAAATTTCACGACATCACAAAAACAATGAATTCAAATTGGGCCGCATTGCAGATTAGTTTTCATATATGGACTGGTACATTTTAAAAGTTTTCATACTACATGAAACTTTAATTCAACAAGGCAAAGACAATTCAGTTTTTTCATTGACATCGGTCCTTTAGAGAGCCTGTCAATGGTCAGTTATTTATAGAAACGGTTGGACCACCACACAAGATAAATCAATTAAAACCATATGTTCAAGGCAAAAAAACATTTAGAAACCTTGTAAGAGTGTAAACTGTAAACTCTTAAAAAATGGGCTTCTTTAAAGATTCTTTAGTAGAGACATTGGGTATATATAGAACTATATTGGCTCAAAGAACCATTTGAATGCAGAAAGTGTTCTTTGCATGGTTGAATGGTTCTGTTGCATGTTATGTGTTCTTTGACCTAAGAAAACTCTTTTATCCAGCACGAAAGAGGGTTCCACTATCTTTACAAGTCATAAAACCTTCTATTTGTACTATATAGAACCCTTTTTGCTAAGCTGTGGTGCACTTGAATCACCCAGCACTTAGAAAATGAACAAATTAACCACATATTCACAAAGCCCAGTGTGTAAAACCATCATGTAAAAGCACAATTCTTTTAATTATGCTTCTTTAAATGAACTTTTTTAAGGTAATGGTTATTCTGCTTGAGTAGAGTTTTTTATAGCCCTTACAGTGCTGATTAAATAAAATTCAGTGGTACAATTCAACCCTGCAAGAGTCATGGCTTTGCATATAATTACCCTGAAATAAAAAGAAACATAAATATCACATTTTACTCCATTTGGATTCCCTCACTGGGACCTGAACTTGCAGGAAGAACATGATTTCTCACTGTTGCCTAGGGTTGCATTCAACTTTGAGAAGCGGAGCGTATCCGAGTATGAAGCAGTAATTAGAAGGCACCATTTCAGTATCTAGTCATTAGCGAGAGGCCATGCTACACTGTAAGGGGAGAATTTAAATGCCACTATTTTCAACATTGCCTTCAGACAGAAGGTTCTGGAAAGAGGCTTCGTGACTGAGAAGTCCCAACTAGCGGCCGCTTCTTTATAATTACGTTTAGACGAAGAAGCCTTCAACACAAGGATGATCTCTTATAGGGAATGCTCACATGGTCCTCTAGGTTTCTCTCAAATTCCATGAAGAATTGCTCAAACCCCCCCTTTAGCCAAACAGTGTTCATTAAATTATGATAATAAAGAGTGCTGGAGCCTCCCAACCTCTGCCTACCTTTTTTCCTCTCCATACTCTAATCTCTCTTCATGCATCATCTTCTTTTATCTCCTCTCGTTGCATCATTTACGGGTTTGATGTATGTAGTTCACCTTCTGTGCTCTCTA